TTGGTTTTGATGAGCTGGTCACACCTTTCCTCAGCATCAGCTAAAGCATCAGCTTCCTGGTGGGAAAATACAGGAAATTTTATGTAATGCTGAAGTAATAGGTGTGCATCAGTAAGAACATCAGGATTACTTTTTGGGGAAAAGGTTACTGTGCAATTACATTACACATTGCAAATTTAGAATAAGTTTTTAATCAGTTTTTTGTTGGTTTTTTTTTTTTTTTTTCCCCCACGACCTTTCTCATAATCAGATACTGGTCCTAGCTCCATTACATTTCACCTTGTTTATTTCAGGTATGTCAGTGGGTTACTTGGGTTTAACTGATGTTTCCCTTTTCTCCTTTAGAAGTGATTGTATTTTATAATGTATTATATTAACATTTATGTGGAAGTATTGAGAAATGTAAATAATTCCATCATTGAGAAAATATTTGAAACTCCCATTAGTAGATTTATACCCAGCCAATACAGTCAGCAGCCACTAGATTCATCTTTCCCTGAAATGGACACTTCAACTCAAAGGTATTACCTAAATGTTGCCTAAATTTCCGAGAAGGCAAATGGCATTAGAGACAAACATACAAAGCTGGCATTTGTGTCGTAGGATGTAACGGGCATGTGTGCCTTCTGGGAGCAGTAGCTACAGGACCTCAGGTGAGATATGCCATAAGAAATGGTGCTAGGCTCTTCATTTTGTCAAATGAATTAAGGCACAGTATTTGGTCAATTGAATCACTGTCCCCACTCCACTAAATACACTACAGTGACTATAATAAGGCTTTATGTCATGACAATCACATAGAGACATGTACATGTAGGCATTAAGGCTAAAAAGTCATTCTTTAGATTAAACTCCAGTTTAAAATAGTCAGACTGAGTGGGGAAGGAACGTGGACAGAATTTTACATTTAGTTACATGATATTCAGCTTAAAATATTTTGTAAGACAGTTTAGTGTGCAATTTGAGATTTCTGTAGCATGAGAGAAAATTGAGATCTTATTTACTTATTTCCCCTATTAAAAAAAAAAAAAAAGTTACTCACAGCCTGCACTTGGAGCTGCAGGTCATTTTTTTCCTGCAGCAAAGAAACCATTTTCTCCTCCAGCTCCTTCCTCTTTGCCTCAGACTTTGCAAGATCTTCCTTGGTTTTCTCAAACTCTTGTTTCATGTTGGCCATCTCCTTCTCAGATTCTGCACTCTTCAGCAAGGGCTTGATCTTGAAGAACAGCTTCATCCAGGGCCAGTGCTTGACGTTCATGAATGCACGAATGTTGTACTGGATGCAGAAGATGGATTCCCTGAAGCATAATTAAAATGTAAATTGCATATTTTCAGTATGATGAGTGCCAACACTTTCCCCCAAGTACAGTAATTTAACTGAAGATGAAGAATGTCTACCTCCTCTCCACCATTCTCTGGTACTCCACTCTCATCAGGAAGCCCCTGCACCTGGCCTGTGTGCGAGTGATGAGCTGTGCCAGTTTCTCATCCCTCATCTCCTCCAGGAGTCCCAGCAGCCCAGCTTTGAAGAACACCTTGAGAAAGGGAATGTTTCCACACATCACTGTCAGGTAGAGCAAAGCAGAGGCACACAGTGAGTGAGTCAAGGAGGGTTTGTACCTTGGTGTGGCCAAATTTGTACTGGGTGTGGTCGACATCGATTGACCCAAGAAGCTTCTCAGAAGCCTTCTTGCTATCAATGAACTGTCCCTCTGGGATAGCACTGGCATTAAGCACCTTGTATCTGTGAAAAGAGAAAGAAAGATAAGGCTGGTTTTTCCCAGCCAACACACACTAGCTAGTGAATACTACCAGCTCATATGTAGCTATTTTTACAGAAGAGTCCAGCCTGAAAGAACTTATATGAATGAACTAACATTGCTTTTAGTGATGCTGAGAAGTGCAGTGCTCTTACCTCTGTTTGAAGTCAGCATAGAGAACTCTGCTGGGGAAACCTTTCCTGCAAATTCTGATGCCTTCCAGCACACCGTTACACCGCAGCTGGTGAAGTACCAGTTCATGCTCCATGGCTCCTAACAATTCAGAGCATAAGTGAATACCACGGTTTCCACTGTAGAGGGGAATGGTTGTATCAGAGGAAGTTTTCTTTCTGCCTGAGCATCTTACCAGGTGTTTTTGTTTCATTTGGGATGATGCAACGGACAAAATGGGGGTGAGTGCTCCGTAGATTGGTCATCAGCTTGTTTAGATTCTCCTGTGGGACCATGTGTAGCACCTTACATTAAAAGAATTTACTTCTGTATACTCTCTATCTAGATGCCAAGGAACTAATGTAATGAATCGTAGGAGGAAGAAGCTTTCAAATTCAAAATTTAGATTTAATCAAACCTTCTATATACTTAAGTATTCACATTAAAAGAAAGTTTAAAATTCTGCACCTTAGTCTGTAGGAAATAAAACACTACTCTATAAAAAATTTAAGACAAGCCTTTATAGGATTAATATTTATATTATATCCTGGATTCTGAAACATGTTTTTCACAGAGTGTAAGTGAACTTTTAAAAGAAATTCTGGGGGTCAGCTGAAGACTGCTTGAAACATATTCCAAATGTGAACAGATAATTACTAGGAAAAGGCAGTGAATAACTTCCTCTCACTTCATACTTACTATTGTTTCATCATAAAACCAAGGTAATGAGAAGAACAGTTTATATAGCTCAGATTTTAAAGTATGTTCATGTCACTTTACAGATAATGAAATTCATACTTTACCCGGAAAAGAGCCGAGACAGTCTGGAAAGAAGAACCCTTCTTCTTGCCACCCTTCTTTCCACCACCAGCACCACCGCCACTAGCCTCTTCAAAAGCAAAAAGAGTTTTTTAATATTATCTTTTTTGTTGCATCTTTACATACCATAAAGGCTGGGAAAAAATAATTTTAGACCTAACCTGTTTCTGCTCCACCATAGGAGGCAAAAAGTAAAGCCAGTGTCTTCACAGATGATTTCTGGTACAACCCAATAACAGTTTCGTTCAAGGGATCCTTGTTCTTCTCAAGCCAGCCAGTGATGTTGTAGTCCACTGTGCCAGCATAGTGCACCAGGGAGAAGTGGGCCTCAGCCTTGCCTTTGGCAGGCTTGGGTTTCTGGAAGTTACTGGACTTGCCCAGATGCTGGTCATAGAGCTTGTTCTTGAAAGAGGTGTCAGTTGCCTTGGGGAACATGCACTCCTCTTCCAGGATGGAGAAGATACCCATGGGCTGGAAGATAGTACAATAAAGAAGAGAGAATGCCTGTAGAATAACATAATCACAACTTGGTCTTAAAAGGAATATAGTAAAAGACAAGAAGCTGAGAAACAAACAAATACCCTTGCCATGAAGAAAATTTCTTTCTACAAAGTGAGTTTAAAAGATTCACCTGCTTGACTCACACTTTGACACAGTGATTCAGGAATGGCTTTTATGCCAAAACCCATGTTAAAAGATCATGAGGAGAAAGATTATATTTAAAAATGTCTTTCACAAATGTGTACATTGTTTATTTACTTCAGGTTTTTTACTTTTAATCAGCTCCCTAAATTGTATGGAACTACAAGAAATCTCTTTCAGTTTATTGCCCTCAGAGGTCAGGCAGCGACTCTATTGGCCTGTACTTACTTTACTATGAATGATCTAGAAGAAAATGTATTGTCCAGCTAACTTGATTCCAGAATCTTAAGAAAATATTTTTATTTTATATTGGGAGCTGCTCTGTTTTTGAGAAAAATATCCTTTAATTAAGCAAATGGAGATACCTTTCACACACAGAAGGTGTGTGAGGTATGACTTCCATAGTTATCTGTGGACTTTGCAGTATCTCTAATGCATAATAAGCAATAGTACAGATCAGGAGATATTTCAACAACTAAAACTGAATGCATGAAACTAACCATGGAAGACACCTTTTTTTTTAAATAGTATTTAAGCATTTTCAATTTAAACTAATGAGTTCCTGAATATACAAGGTATTTTGAATTAAAAATTTACCTTTTCAATGAGCTCAATGCAGGCAGCCAGGTCCATCCCAAAGTCAATAAATGTCCATTCAATTCCTTCCTTCTTGTACTCCTCCTGTTCCAGCACGAACATGTGGTGGTTGAAGAACTGTTGCAGTTTCTCATTGGTGAAGTTGATGCAGAGCTGCTCCAGGCTGTTGAACTTCCCAGTGGAAAAAAACCCAACAACCACCCATCATCAAATGCACAGTTCTTGATCATTCTCAACCTTTTATAAATCTCTTCAGTTAAAACAAACTGTATTATCAGGATGACACCATAGCAGGACCTACATACAGCTCCCCAGAGAAATACCTACATAATGAAAATGGAAATTTTTCCAGAGCAGATACTCCTAGTCAATCTCCTAAAATTCACAAAGCACTTCGGCATTTTCTTCTTCAGCCAGAAAGATGAGTTTATGCCTTCATCTCCAATTTTTAAACACTTGATATCTCTGATTAAACATTTATCTAGTCATTCCTTGGTCTTTTAAACAATTTACACATCTTTAACCTGTGTTATATAACATATAACATCTGTTATATGGTTGTCAGTGTTCTCCAAATCCTAGTTCTGCTCTACAAGCTCTTACATAAAATTATTGTAATTATGTTCGGGTTTCTTTAATCATTAATGTTAAGCTCAAACTGTTAAAATATTACAACATATAGAATTCTATTTGCTACTTCTACACAATCAACATAACTCTGTTCTTGTACTGATGAAGCTTCTTAGGGTTTTGGTCTATGCTACAAAAGAAAATGAAGACTTTTTTCCCACAAGATTGCAAATGACTAACATGTTAAACCTTCAGAACTATATTACTTGGAAGCCCTCTAATATAACAATCTCCCCCTGCAAGTGCAGTCTTCAAAACTGGAATCCTTACATCAAAGATCTCGAAGCCAGCGATGTCCAGGACACCAATGAAGTACTGTCTGGGCTGCTTCGTATCCAGCTGTTGGTTGATGCGAACAACCATCCACAGAAACATCTTCTCATAGACAGCCTTTGCAAGAGCACCCACTGAATTGTTCACCTAAAACAAAGAAGAATGCAGCAGAAGAAAAACAATATCTGGAGCAAATAATAAGAGACACAAGCCAGAGGTTCTCAGTCACCAGCTGTTTGTTACCTGCTGCACGGTTTGACCCTTGGTCACATATTCATTCCCAACCTTGACTCGGGGGTAGCAGAGGGCCTTGAGCAGGTCAGCTGAGTTCAGACCCATCAAGTAGGCGGCCTTGTCAGCAACTAAGTAGAAGGACAAGGAGACAGAAGAATTAAGACTAACAAGACATGAAGCATTTTGAGTGATGAACCCTTTCCAAAGCAACTACAATAGTGAATGTCCTTGCAATCAAATTCTGCTTACTGGATCTCAGAGGAAGCATGACAGTCATTAAAACAAAAATCATCTTTGTTTTGAAAGCTTTTCAGAGTAGTACACCTAAATGCTATTTGTGCCTTTAAAAATCTCCACAGAAGCATCTCAAAAGAATGTATTTATTAAAAATTCCTCCTGAAAGCTGAACTTCATCACTTCAGTCCAGTGCTAATTGGTGTCTATAAGCCAGGCAACAAAAAACCAAAGTATTAGCAGGCTGGCCACCTGAGTGTAATCCAAAACATACACTTAGCTACTTGGGCTACCTGTATTCTTTGGCAGCAGCTATAACCCTAAAGGGGAATGTATTCCAAAATTAGAGGTAACTATTAAGGAGTGCCCCTTTCTGGAGACTTATTGTTATAGTCATAGCAGAAAGGCAGGCATATTCATTCATTCAGGATCAAAACCTAAAAATTCAGTCCTGAAGCTGTCCATCTGAGGGTGTTCTTTGGAAGAAGTAGACAGGGCTTAGTAATTTTAAACCATGTATGCATTATATAACATTTAAGTGATTAAGTAGCCAGCTGAGAAGTAGAAATTTAAGTCAGTTCTTCCCTAGCATAGTGTACCTATGCTTCACTTAGACTGATGTTCAAATAATAATACTATGTAGTGACAGTTATGGGTTTGAATCTCCAAAGATGAAAGAAATTGAAGTAAAGTTCCCTTTTACCTGGACAAAATTCCTAAATAACATGTGATTTATGAAAGAGAAGTTCTAACACTGAATTTAATGCCTCCATTTTCTTTAAAAAAGCAACCAGAAATATATTTTCTGAAAAACCTTTCTCTTCTCAGTAGGTCTTTAGTCTAAACACACTGAGCAGGCTGTACTGTCCAGAACTGTGGTATCCCAGGAGAGAATTATGGACACATATGCAATTTATATTTAAACTAAAGATTAGGTAGTAATTGAAAAAAGAGTATATTTTGGATGGCAGTTTCATACCTATATACTAGCTCCACGTAAACACTTTTTTACACATTTCCACTGTTCTCTTTCTCCATCTTCCAAATACTGAATTATTATTGCTACTTCTAATTCTAACAGGTCAACCACAGACTTTGCTAATACCTTCTGTGCCATCTGGCTCTGCCTGCTCCTCTCGTTGTTTCTGCTTGAACTTCAGGTTACCATAGTGCATGACAGCTCCTGTCAGCTTGTAAATGGCTGTTTTTTCATCAGCAGTGAAACCCAGGATGTCAATGGCGCTCTGCAATGTGAACAAGAAAAAAAAATCTTTGTCTGGCAGAGATGACAATAGGTACAACTTTTTAAATTGTTACTTACATCGGTAGCCATCAGCTCCTCCTGGTCATTAATGCTGGCAACAGTGATCTCACCCTGACTCACAAAGTGGTAGTCATATGGGTTGGTGGTAATGAGAAGCATGTCTGAAAGTAAGAAGAGGGGACAATGCAGGCTTAGTTTAATCAAGCAAGTAATAGTGTGAGCTGATGTTCAGCAATCTTCCTCCAAGTTAGTCATTCTTCCTACCTATGAGTTCTGGCTTCTTGTTGGACATAATCTGATAAAATATGTGGTAGCTTCTTTCTGCTTTGAGCTGGAAAGTGACTCTGGACTTCTCCAGCAGATCTGGAGGGAAAGTTTAGGTAGAAACAAGAAGAAACAGCAAAAAAGAAAGCAGGGAGAAGATAGGAAGAAAACCAGGGAAGGCAGTATAGAAGGTTGGGTGAAAAGGTGTTGTATGGATAGATGGGCGAAAGGATGGATTTGCAAACTGTTCAGGAAAGTGTCTTACATGTTTCAATATCAGCAGAAGCTAGTTTTCCTGTGGCACTGAAGTGAATTCTGATGAATTTGCCCTTTAAAGGAATAAGAGTGTCTTAAGATTTACATCATAAAAATATATCTGAAATTAAGAGTTTTGCCATTTACTCCACTGGGTACAAGATTTTTACTTAGAGACATTTTGTTAAGAATCAGCTGTATTTCCACCTTTGACATAATCTTTTACATTTTTGACCATGAAAATAATCAACAGTATCACAGCTGTATATTTTATGTATGCTGAATGTACAAATGGGAAGGAATGGGTGGATTTCATTAGCCAAACTCTTCTAAATATATCTTGCATACAGAAAGCAGTCATCTTAATGATATGGAAATAGGCATTTAACCAGTTCAGCTGCTTAAATCTGTCTTGCTATCAAATAAGCCTTTTAACTTCTGATTAATTAGATTTGACACAAAGCAAACATATTATTCAAGTAGAAAATCTCTCTCCCCACACCCCATTTCTTTCTCTCTTTCTTTCTCTCTCTCTTTCTTTCTCTCTCCTTCTTTCATTCTTCTTTTTCTTTCTCTATCTCTCTTTCTCTCTTTATTTCCCATCTCTCCTAACCTCTCCCCACTTTCTTCCTGGCATTCTGTCTGTCTTTCTGTCTTTTAGCAAGCGAACAGAAATATAAGTAAAAATAAACAAAACTATTGTTTAACACTGCAATACATTATCAGAGAAAAAGCATGTAATATGTTATTTTATTTGCATCTCAATGCAAAATGGAATTAATTTTTTTCATGGAATCACTGTTTTTGTAATCTGGAGAATTACCTTTAGGATAAGTGCTAAAGTCATGATAAGAAAATCCAGTCTTACTCTCGAAAACACAAAGGCTGAACAACAGGAAAGAATGACTGCCATACACACCTGTTTACTATTTTTCAGGAATCATTTGGTTAAGCAACTTACAAAGCGTGAGGAATTGTCATTCCTCACGGTCTTGGCATTTCCAAAGGCCTCCAGCAGTGGGTTGGCGCTGATGATTTGATCCTCAAGCGTTCCCTACAGGACAATAATTATTGCTGGTTATCCTTTCTAAAAATCATGTCGGGAACAGAGAAAAGCATTGATTCAAGCCAATGTCTATTAATTTGCCTTCATTTTGCCTGACTGCTCCTCTTTCTTCTTATCCCCACTAGCTGCAATTGTTGCAAAGTACTGGATGACACGCTTTGTGTTCACAGTCTTCCCTGCACCAGATTCTCCACTGTGAAAACAAAGAGAGAAGCAGAGGGAGTGTGGTCAGGCAGGACCTGCCTTAGCACCTGGCAGCCCCGCAGGGACCTGAGCAGGGAATGTACATACGTGATCAGGATTGACTGGTTCTCGCGATCTGTGAAAGAAGCAGAAATACAGTACCTAAAACTCAATGAACCACACAGAAAGAATGAATTGTAGTCAGGTAAGTTTAATATTTTCAACTCCATGCTGTCAGACTGACTTAAAAAAATCAACCAACCCAACAAAAAACCCTCCACAACACCTCACTGGAGGGATGTCTTTCATTTAAAATAGTAGAAACAATGTGTGAAGATAGCAAAATACACAATAGTACGTATTTGTCAGAACCATGAAAGCTTTGAAAAAGCCTCCTCATCTTACTGAGACAGGGTATCCCTTCACAGAATTTCATGGTACAATCCCTCTGAGACAGATAGAGCTACTCACCAGTTAGCATGAACTGATAGGCATTGTCAGAGATGGAGAAGATGTGTGGAGGGGCCTCCTGGCGCTTCTTGCCTCGGTAGGCCAACACCACTGCCGGGTTGTACCCCGGCAGCCACTTGTAGGGGTTGACAGTGACACAGAAGAGACCCGAGTAGGTCTGCAAGGAAGGGAGACAGCACATGGGCTTCCACTTATCCTGGCAGAGCAGTTCCTCCTAGCTACCCAAAGGAAGACTGCTGCTGGTACTTACGTAGATCATCCAGGCTGCATAACGCTCTTTGAGGTTGTACAGCACAGCAGGTTCGTGAAGGTGGGTCATCATGGCCATGTCCTCAATTTTATCGTACTTGGGAGGGTTCATGGCAAAGATTTGATCTTCCTTCACGGTCAGAGTCTGTCAGAGGAAGAAGGAGATGCATGTATGTCAACTAAGCTGTGACTGGGAATCAAATGGTGTCCTTCAGCCTTGTTTCTTACCTCTCCTGCTTCAGACTTGACAGTGACCTTGCCTGATTCTTTGCTCTGGATTGTTCCTTTCACAAAGGATTCCTTAGCATGTACCACGAAGACAGATGTCTTGGCATCAAAAGGTTTATTCTGGGCCTCAATTCTCTCCTTTTCTGACTTTCGGAGGTAAGGAGCTGCCTCCCCAAAGATGGCCATCTCAGAGTCTGATGACATGTCTGCACTTTATGGAGGGGCTCGTCAGCAGAGATCACTGAGGAAGAGCAGAAATATTGCCCAAATGTGTCAAAAAGGAAGTGCTTGTTAGTAGAAAATATGGGAAAAGAAACATACTGTATTAATATTATTCATAGCGGTTTTCAAAGTAATTGTATATTTTTGCAGTGGTGTGATTCAACATTTATGGAAAATGTGAATATTATATTTTGGGAGATCTTTTGGGTTAGGGTCCACTGTGCTGAAATCACATTTGAAATACTCCATGGTCACTTAGTAGTCAAGTATTTAGGCACTGTAACTGTGGAGTTAAGAACCTCAAAATTCCTTTCAGCTGCTTAGGCAATCTTTTAAAATTCACTTGAAATTATTATAATGCAGTTTCTTCCCAAGTGATACTAATTCAGAATGGTTAGAACGCTCATACACCACTGTCTTGAGTGGCATACAGACAATTGGAGCATCTTAATGGCTCAGTTTCAGTCTCTAAAACATTTGTATCACTATATGAATGATACAGTTACTTGCTAATTCTAGTGAGTTCTTTAATCCAGACATAAATGGCTACAATGCCTGTCAAAAGAAGAGTAATGCTGTTCCAGAACACACTGACATAGCTCCATTTCTATTATTTTCTTTTCCTTTTTTAAAATTAATATAATTTTAGGGGAAAACAAAGTTAAACACAACGATTCAAAGCTCAACTCAGGAATTTAAAACATAATGAATTTCATATCATAAAGATTATCTGAAAAATTGCTTTTTTTCTCCACCCCCCCCCCCCCCAAAAAAAAAAAAACACCAAACCACCAGTGGGCAGCTTAGGAAAACATTTATTTATTTCTATCCTGTATAGAGACAGGTACTTAATATTTACACAACCTTTAATATTGTGTTATATTTGTACTAAAATGAGAGAGGAACATGACAATTCTTTATTTGTCCCTGCACAACAGGTGGTGGCTTACAGAGGGCTGCAGCTTTCATTTCTTGTCAGGTACAGAACAGGCAGAGCCGTAAGGGGAACAAACAACAACATTGTGTTTTACAAAGATGATTGCTCATACTGCAGCTCTTTCTACTCTTGCTTCTTTAGTGATTTTATGGCAAATTTTGGACAAAATAATATATTAATTCATATGCTCTGAGACACAATGTTGAATTTTGCACTTTTTCCTACTGTGTTCATCCAGTTCTGCTGCTGTGACAGCAAAGATGGGAAGCCAGCATACCTCACTCCTTGTTAGGTCAGTTAAGCAGAAGTGAAGAATGTCTCCATGGAGATTTTCTGGTCTGGCATCAGCGGTCAGAGACTTCAAACACAGCCACTTAAAGATTGGACCAGATGATCTTTCAAGGTCCCTTCCAACCTGGGCTATTCTATGATTCTATGATTCACTTGAAAAACTTACCAGCCTTGGGCACCCCACCACCTTCTATTGTGACCACACTGGGTTTGAAAATATGGGGTGAAACAGTGACCATTCACTTAGCCATACAGAAATCCCACCCAACAGGATCTTTCTCTGCCCTCTAATAATTAATAAATCAGGTTCTTACCTCTCGTGACACCAAGAGGGGTGGCTTGCGGGCTGGCAGCTGGTCAGTACTGTAAAACAGAAATGGCAACTCCCTAGTTGCTGCTGCACAGAAATCCAGAGTGAAAATGTGCAGGTGCCTTGAAAGCAGATTTAAAACCTGAGCTGAGAAATTGAGTTCCCTCCTGGAAATGAGCACTGGAGGCAGCAGCAATGCTGTAGAACCTAAAGGCACCATCCCCTTCCTGCAAGCCTGTGGACCCCATACACTTACCTTCAAGCTTTCTGTGGAGACAGGGCAGACTTGTCACAGGGACATTTTATACCATCTAGTCTGCAGATGCTACAGATGCCTACTCTTTCTTCGGTCAAAAAATTTTTGGCAAACCTTCTTTGGCAAAGCATTGTCTGGCAAACTGAACTAAGGGCATAATTGTCATTTGACATGACTAGATATAATTAGAAAATTTTGATGTCTTAGTAACTATATGAATACATCTCCTATAAATAATTTGACAAGGGTGTTAAGGAGGGAATCTGGACTAGTCAAGGCACTTAGAGAACTTGGATGCAAGACTTATGGATTCTATTGCTGGCTTTCCCACCGACTCACTGTATGACCCAGGGTGGATTGCTTGGTATGTCTGTGCTGCAGCTATCCCAGCTGTACAATGGGGATGACAACATTTATCTTCCCCATGTGATGGTGTGAAGCTTATAATAAATGCCTAAGGGCAATATATTAAGCAGGCCACTAAGAGGGAAATAAGTATTACTAAAAGCATTTGGTGGTTGTGTGGGTAAAACTCTGAAAGTAGAAGAGTAATCTGGGTCCTTCAGTGTACTAGTGCTGGTGCCTGACAGTCACAGACATAGCAAGGTGACTGGCCAAGAGACAAAGATTTGGGCACAGCAATAGAAGGCTGGGATCTAGCTGAACTACTGGGTTGGAGTCTGAGAGAGAGATGTGAGGTCACTTCTGATGTATGAAGGAGAGCATACATACACTCGTGCACATGTGCCCATCTGTACACTTGAAATTGCAGAAAAGTGGGAGATTGTCCAAGAAGTGTTGTTATAAGCCTGTGCACAAATTTGTGCTAAGGGAGATGTCATAAGGTATGCTGTGATTTCTGCTACCTAGGTCACTACAGCTGAACAACATAGGCTCCTTTCTTAAAGATGTTTTAATACATCAGAAAGTACCCATATTGGCAATTCAGGAAAGGACCTCCATTCTTTCTTATGTCCTTTTTCCAAGTCTGACCTGTCAATCTGTACCATAAATAAAGCAAATTGCTGAGGTAAAGATTTGGGCCTGTAGAAATCTATGCCATTTGAACGTTCATTCCCCTTTTGAACAAGGAGCAGTTACAGCTTGTTACAGAGTCTAGATATCAACCAAGTTTTTTTCCATTCCTGCATAAGTTTCTGTTCCTGCAGAATTCCAGAGCCCTTCCACCATCCCAGAGCTCAGCTCACACATCCAAAAGACAACCTATGTAAAAAGACTTGCAGTCCTCAGTTTATCCATCAATACACAGCATTTATTTCCAATTCCTCTAACATAAACAAACTACAGTCTCAGCTAAAGCCTGTCTCCCATATGCATGCTCCCACTGTCAAACTCACCAACTGGGAAAAAAGCAAAGACCCGTTCAGCCCTTCCCTACCCACAACTCCCAGAAACAAATATCTTGCGCATTTACACATCCATACAGTTCCTGCAACAAAAGCTATCAACATGTTGCTGCCTATATCAGAACACTAGAGGTGGTAGGCAGTCCTGATACTCTGAGAAAGGGGGATTTGCTGGTAGTCCTGGAGAGTGGCTCATCTAGTTTTGGGGAAAGGGCACAGTTATTTGAGCTGCTTTAAATGCTGTCAAATCTAAGCACACTCTTCTCCTGGTCACTGGCATTTTGGTTATTGAAAGAGGTCAGGGACACAAGGACAAGGTTAGAAAAATGATGCATGGGGTCCAAGGTAATATCCAGCATCAAGCACTACCCTGTGCATGAAGAGTTTGCACCAAGAAGGGCTCTGACATTTCAGCACTCACATTTTGGGTGGCTGGGCCCCAAGCCTGGAACCCAAGCCTGTTCCAAACCAAAGTGCTGGGGTGCCAAGTGGTGTCCAGCAGCCCAGTGGATTATTGGTCCTGGCTGAGGAGGGAACAGGAGGGCCTTGGCAGATCAGAGCATGGGGTTAAGAAGACCATGGGAGGGGCAGGGATGGCTGAGACCTCTCCCACGATGTGAGAGCTGAGTGTTTTCTCCCATAGGGTTGGGGATGGAGCTCTGGTCTCCTATTCCCAGGAAAGCTGTAATATCTGAACTGTAATGGCAGCATCCTCTGGCAGCAACAGGTTAAGTATTAAGTAGAATAATAGAATGGCTTACATTGGAAAGGACCTTCAGAGATCATCTAATCCAACACCCCTGCCGTGATCTTTCACTAGATTAGGTTGCTCAAAACCCCATCCAACCTGACCTTGGACACTTCCAGTGGTGGGGCATCTGTAACTTCTCAGCGAAACCTGTTCCAGTGTCTCACCACCCTCATTGTAAAATATTTCTTCCTTATATCTATTTGAAATCTATGCTCTTTCAGTTTAGAACAATTGCTTCTTGTCCTGTCACTACAGGCACTGACAAAATGTCTTTCTCCATCTTTCTTATAAATCCCCTTTAAGTACTGAAAGGCTGCAAGAAAGTCTCCTCAACCTTTCTCATCTCCAGGCTGAACAACACCAACTCCTTCAGCCTTTCTTCATAGGAGAAGTGTTCCAGCTCTCAGATAATTTTTGTGGCCTCCTCTGGACCCACGCTAACAGTTCCATGTCTTTCTTGTTCTGGGGACCCCAGAACTAAAGGGAGTACAGCAGCTGGGGTGTCACAAGAGTGGAGTAGAGGGGGAGAATCACCTCCCTCAACTTGCTGGCCACACTTCTTTTGATGCAACCCAGGATGTGATTGGCTTTCTGGGCTGCAAGCACACATTGCTGGCTCATGTTCGATTTTCATCCACCAGTATCCCTGAGTTCTTCTCTGACTAGCTGCTGTTGCTTTTCTGTGGGGTCATGCTCTCAGTAGTACGTAGCAAGCCTGTCTTATGAAGTGCTGTCAGGCTGGAACAAAGT